TGTCAATGAGACATGTTTTTTTGTATCTGAACAACAATTTACCTACATTAAAGCGTCTGGGTCAAAATGACCCGCAACATCATCTTTGTATACAAACTCTGCACAGACATTCCACTACACATCAAAGTGTCCAGATTTTACACACCAGTTCATGACCCTAGTTGAGGAAAAGTCACCAAATTTCAGTAAGAAAAAGAAAGGATAACCAGTACTTTGATCAACTCAAAAACTGAAATGGGTCAAATTGACCCTTACCATAATACAAGGGTTAAGAGCCTGAGGAAATAAATCAACCCGAATCCGAAACATTCCCATGCGAAAAACAGATGTCCCCTGGAGCCATCTTGCTGCTTTGGTTATGGCAGATACGCATGAACCATCACTTTTCCATGCGTTCATAGCTCCAACTCCACTTCAAACCCATTGCAGATTCACATTGGGCCCCTTTTCTTTCTGCTGCACTTTCGAAATGCAACAACTGCAGTTTAGTTACCCAATTTAATACTAGTGACCTAGCTATTTAAATGCATGGCCCCTCCTTCCTCCTGCAGATAGACGAATTTAAATACATTCATTTAACAATAGTGACCTGCGAGTAATGAGATTAATGCTGTAAAAATGGCGCCGTGGCAAGAGTTCTGGTGTGTGCCGTCTGGAGCACGATGGGTAGTCTTTGCACATTTTTTCCAACGTGGTTTTACTGCAAGTGGCAGAACATGAATCTGAATTAATGCACATTGCTCCTCTTATATCCCTCAGACATTGGAGATTGATGCCATTTAAGATGCATTGTCCCTCAGTTAGCTCAAACACGTGTAAAACGGAGCCTGCAGACCAAGCACGGGGCGAAAACTGACGCCTGCAGTCAAGTGCGTAGGGCAAAAACCAGTCGCCTGCAGCCTAGACTCCGGGATTAATCTGTCCGCGGTCGGCACACTCACTGTACTCACATGCCAGGAGACTTGGGAAAGCAACGGGACAAAGCGGCACCGCCAATCGGAGGCAGGGACACGCACGGCACCGCCAGACCGTCTGCGCACGGCACCGCCAGACCGTCTGCGCGCGGCAGCAGACCACGAGGAACGAGCAGCACAGAAACCGCGGAGGGGCCCGCGGAGCAGCCCGCAGAAGAGCCCGCAGAGGAGGAGAGCAGTGGGGATATGCGAACCATAGCAGGTGCAGGGACGCGGAGGAGCAGACCACAAGCAGCCAGACGGAGGACAGCCGGGCCACGCGCACGAGCAGCACGTGAGCAGAAGCGACCCCTCCAGAACAACGCATGCATTTGCGAACAGGTGCGTTAGCGACATGCACCTTGCAGGCTTCAAGAAGTTTGCAAACTTCAGAAGGCCGGAAAGTGGGCGTCTCCGGCTTTTAACTTGCTGTCCTGGTGGTTATTGGTGGATTAGATGTGGGCGTTTTGCTGGTGTAATGAGTAGAGGATGACCAGGCTTGTAGATCTGGCAGCAGTGGCCGGGTCTACCACAGTGAACTTTCGCGAAGAGCTTCATTTGTTTCGGCGGTAAAAAAATAATAATATGAAACCGGCAAATAACAATAGGCTAATGATAATAATATGGTCATGAGCTTTGGGTAATGACCGAAAGAAAAGAACGCGGATACAAGCGTCGAAAGGAGCTTCCTCCGCAGAGTGGGTGCTCCCTTAAGATAAGATGAGATAAGATATACTTTATTGATCTCACAAAGGAGAAATTTACATGTCACATATGGCATGGATCGAAACACTCAAGATTGTGCAAAAAGAAAGAAATGTGCAAACATGTTAAATGCAAGATATTATGTACAATAAAAAAGTGTCGATTTAAAAAGTGGCTTCAGAAACAGTGTCAATAGTAGTGCAGGTTCTTTTCAGTCTTAATGCAGTGACTTAAGGTGACTTGTTGTACAGTCTGACAGCGGTGGGGATAAAGGCCCTGCGGTAGCGCTCCTTCTTGCACTGAGGGTGTCTTAGTCTTCCACTGAAGGAGCTCCTCAGCTCCTCTACAGTCCTGTGCAGTGGGTGGGAGGTATTGTCCATGATGGAGGTGACTTTTGCCGCTTTTCCACAGTATCAGTACGGTACGGTACAGTACGGTACGCTTCAGCACGGTTATTTTGCGTTTCCACTAGTGGATGGTATGGGAGATTTGCGTACTTTTCCGCACTGCCTCAGCCGTGGTTCCATCCCCATAGTACCCGTGCCATGACGTCACGTCGGCCCACTGCCTTACACTGATTGGTCAACGAGTGTCGTCACCGGAAGGGACGTCTGACCCTTTGGGAAAAACAACTCAACCGCCATCTTTAAAACCGGCTGCTCTGCTTGGCTCTGCTTCGGCTACATTACGTCCTCCTCACTCCAGAGAAATGGAATCGCACAGAAAGCCCCAAAAGTCCTAGTCCTGGTCGGTGGACGGGGTCCACACGTTCCTCTCTTCAGGCCAAAGAAAGAATTCAAAGGCAGCTTGAGGCTCAACACAGTTTTCAGGGAGATCACCCAGCTCTGGATTTGTGACTAGTCTGTGGTAATCCTGGAAATAACTGGTTAGCTGGTTTTGCACTTTACTTTTGTTTTCAATGAATCTGTGATTGTATCAAGAGTGTGTTTCATTCATTTATTATAATTGTAGCTGAGGTTTGGGTATTGATTGTTTGTCTGGTCTCGGTGTCTGCTGTAGTCCGGACCCGAGTCTGGACTAGGCTAGCCTAGCCTAGCCGCTAACTCGCTATCCCTATGGCTGCCGCTGTCTCTCCCTCGGTCCTTTACTGCTCGAGTTGTCATATGCACTGGAAAAAATACCTGTCTTAAAACAAGTAAAAAAATACTTTTACTCTAAAAAATACTCTAATAATTTTGCCCTTGAAATAAGTGAAAAAATCTGCCAATGGATCTAGCACATTTTGACTTGGGGAAAAATCTTAAAATAAGATATTCTGTCTAGGTGTTAAGTTGCTTGAAATAAGATAAAAAAGGCTAATTTTCAGGTATCAACTAAGTCTCAGAAGCTCAAAATGCTTGTATTTCATCTCAAATCTAGCCGTTGATTTGTTAATAATTCTTATTTTAAGTATTATATAGTCTAATAACAAGCTCCTTATGAGCCTTAGTTCTCCTAAATTAGGACCATATTTTCTTAAAATAAGACTGCAATAAGATCAAATTACCTTAAAACAAGACAAAGAAGAAATGTGCTAGGACAATTTTAAGCTCCAACAATGTCTGACATCCACACTGTTTTTCAGAAAAAGTGATAACTACAATGCAGTGAGAGTAAATATGAACAAGTTTTACAACTTTAACATTTTGTTCTGGTTTCTCTGATGGAATTATCTCCATGGTTACACAGAGAAAACCGCCCTTGCAGGATATAAAACTAGCACTGTTCTACAATGAATCAATCTAAAAAAAACAAAAAACAAATACACCTTTATCCCCCTATTTTACAAAAAGCACTTCCTTTTTTTTAGAGGTGCTTGTCATATAATGGAAAAAGAAATCATTTATTTCTGTAATTCAACTTAAATGTGAAGCTAATATGCGATATAGACTCATTACATGCAAAGTGACATGTAAGGCTTTATTTGTTTTAATTGAAATGATTACAGCTTACAGTCAAATTTCAAAATATTTTTTTTTAAATGCGATTTTTAATTTGGGTTTTAACAAGCTGAGCCATGATCATCAGAATTATAACAAAGGCTTGAGATATGTCAATTTACATGTATTGAGTCTATCATATATTAGTTTCACAGTATATGTTGAATAATTGTTAGTTACCTATTGTAACTGTAGTTCTACGAATAGTGCGTAGCCCCTTAGGCTCGCTTTGGGTATGACTCCAGAAGCACCTAGCTTCCCGCCAGAGAGAACTCAATGCTCCAATCACTGTGCAGAACCTCCTATAAATAGCCCACAGCAGTCCATGCTCTTCACTTTGAACTCGCCAAAGCCAGGTTGGACTGATGGGCCCGTGGCTAAGGGGCTACGCACTATTCGTAGAACTACAGTTACAATAGGTAACTAACAATTCTACTTCATAGTGCTACGCCCCTTAGGCTCGCTTTGGGTAACGAAGCGTAGCCTAAGAGTATGTACTCCCATCAGGCCAGCTAGCAGTGATTGGAGCCCTGCCGAGTAAGCCCTAACACCTCCAAGGTGTGGGAACTCAAGACAGACAGGGAATGAGCAGTGATGGGGCCGCTCCTATCAAGGACGCCCAAGGATAGGCTCAAAGGTGAAGCAGTGGTAGGGCCGCTCCTATCAAGGACGCCCGAAGCACTAACAGAATCCAAGAGGGAGGCCGTTCCAGGAACAGCCAAGTCTCTGACCAAACGCCCAAGGGCGAAGGTCACTTCCCAGGACGCCTCTACCAAGAGCTCCTGAGGAACACCGCGCGCGCCCCCGTAGGGGAACAAGGAACAGTCCCAGACCGCCTCTACCAAGCGCACCTGAGGACTGCACAAGGCCGCGAAGGAAGAAGGAGAAGGCTGGAAACCCGTCCTCTTAGAGAGCAACTCAGGCTCTTGGTGTGGAGTCCAGAGCTGTAAAATGCACCCGCCCCCCTCACGGTTTGACAGTGGTTGTGGGCAACCATATGGATCTTTTTTCGGTTCCACTTCTTTCAGATGTGGAGGAGCTAATCCAGGCTGGGTTTACCAGACCAACAGATGCATTTAAAACTTCTGTTAGCTGCAGACGGCTGTCTGCCATGCAGGATTGTGAGAAGATTGGCTGTGCCACTCTTCCTCAGGTGGACCAGTCAATTGCAGCCCTAATTTCTCCGTCCAGTTCTGGGCTGGGGAAAACTACATGTCCCTCCAGAGGTAGTAGAATGGTGGATGCACTTTTGGCTAAGGTGCATAGGACCATTGCTGTTCAAACACAGCTAGCCAATACTATGTCTATACTGACCTTGTATAATCGTCAGCTTACATATGAGTTGGAGGGGGGGCAGGGTTCAGAGCGGCTGGTTAAAGAGTTGCAGCTTGTCTCCTCATCTATGGTTCAGCTTATGAAGGAGCAAGCAGCAGTGGCAGGGAAGAGTATTGCTTCTCTTTGGGTAACCAGGCGGCAGCTATGGCTCTCCCAGTCACCACTGCAGCCGGAGGATCAAAGTGGCTTGATGAAACTCCCGGTTGACCCTCAGGCCATGTTTGGTCCTGGTGCCATGAGTATGTTACAGCAGGCCCAGGAGGCACGCAGATGTGCGCGGGAAGTGTCTGGGGTGGTTGTGCGGCGGCGCAAGTGGCAGAGTGCAGGTTCCTCATCCAGGCCACCTACACAAACCGGTCAGCAGCAAAACTGGGGCTCACGGGACTTACGTACCACCATTGAGGCCCAGCGGCGACGGAACAGGGGCAAAGGGGGGCCATCAGGTTCTGGGTTTCAGGCTAAGGGCCGACCCAAGCCTCCGCCTCAGTCCTGACGCCAGGATGGACCCAGCGTGTTTCCCCCGACATCGAGACACGCCGGACTGCCTGGATGGCCATGGGTGCGTCCCCATGGGTCGTGTCTACCATGACGCAGGGGTACCGTATCCAGTTTTTACGGAAGCCTCCCACCTCAGTGTCCCCTTTGGTGGTCACTCAGGTGCATTCCGAACACAGGGCAGTACTCCTGTTGGAGATTTCTACCCTGTTGGAGAAGAAGGCAATCAGAGAAGTGCCACCAGGCGACAGACAGGCTGGGTTTTATTCCCGGTATTTTTTGATTCCCAAAAAGGACGGCAAGCTCCGCCCCATTCTTGACCTGAGAGGACTGAACCGGTTCATTCGTCCTCTGCGGTGCAAAATGTTGACAGTCTCCAGGGTGAGACAGTTCATTTGCAGAGGGGATTGGTTTGTTACCATCGATCTGAAGGACGCCTATTTTCAGATTCCCATCTGGAAAGGCCACTGGCGTTTCCTCAGATTTGTCTTCAACGGCAAGGTGTACGAATTTCAGGTTCTTCCCTTTGGGATATCCCTGGCTCCTCGTACATTCACGAAGTGCATGGAAGCAGTGCTCTCACCTCTCAGACAGGAAGGCATCAGAATTCTGAACTACTTGGACGACTGGCTCCTGTGTGCGGGGACACAGCAGGAGTGTCGGGCTCACTTGTCTCTGCTGTTGGAACACCTGCGTCAATTGGGCTTCGTCTCAACTACGAGAAAAAGCCATCTCGTACCGTCTCAAGAGACGCACTTTCTAGGCCTAGTCTTGAATTCTCAGGCAGCAAGTCTCACACTATCACAGGCGAGACTGATGTCCTTCAAGAGTTGTCTCTCGCAGTTCAGACTGGGGGCCAGAGTCACATGGCGGCAGTGTCTCCGCCTCATGGGGCTTATGGCGTCCATGTCACAGGCAGTCCCTTTGGCGCTGCTGAACATGCGCCCAGTCCAACGGTATCTTCTGGGTCTAGGTCTGGATCCTCAGAGACACCTACACGTGTCAGTACTGGTCACCAGGCGTTTTCTATTGACCCTTCGTTGGTGGCGTTGCGCAGAAAATGTGAACAAGGGGCTCACTCTCGGGCCAGTGATTCATCGTCATCTTGTGGCGACGGATGCATCACTGACGGGATGGGGAGCTGTGTACAGAGGCAATGGGGTCAGCGGGACACTGGCGGGGTGCCTACACAACACAACACATCAATGTCCTGGAGCTGCGGGCGATATATCTAGCCCTTCGACACTTCCTTCCTCACATACAGGGGCAACATGTCCTGGTGAGGACAGACAGTGTGGCAGCAGCCTCGTATGTGAACAGACAGGGCGGGTTGGGCTCAGTCTGCCTGTGCAAGATCGCACATCAACTGTGGCTGTGGGCTCAACCCAAGTTCCTGTCGCTGCGGGCGGTGCATGTGCCAGGATTGGACAATGTGGCCGCGGATCTGCTCTCCAGGGGAGGGCCAGATTCAGGCAGCTGGAGGTTACACCCTCAGGTGGTGTGGGCCATTTGGGGCCGTTACGGGCAGGCGTCAGTCGATCTATTTGCGTCTCGCCAGAACGCCCACTGTCCCCTGTTTTTCTCTTTGGGGAGGGACAATCCTCCGCTCGGGGTAGATGCAATGTCTCACCCGTGGCCTCACGGTCTACTTTATGCTTTTCCGCCATTCGGTCTTCTCCCGTCTCTCTTGCAGAGGGTGCGGGTGGAGGAAGTGAGAGTAGTCCTGGTGGCTCCCCTGTGGCCTCACATGACTTGGTTCTCGGACATCCCCGCGTCTCCTCAACGGGACTCCGTGGGAACTCCCAGTACGCCCGGACTTGCTGTCGCAGGGTCTGGGGGCTCTGTTTCATCCCGTTTCCCCAGGGGCTGAGGCTCTGGGCCTGGCCCCTGAGAGGTCCGAGTTGCTAGCTATGGGACTTCCAGATTCTGTGGTGCAGACTTTGGAAGGTGCTCGGGCACCATCCACGCGTGCACTATATACGCATCGATGGAACTCCTTTGCTAAGTGGTGTGTGCAGCATGGGTTTGACCCTCTGGCATGTACAGCACCAGAGATTCTGCAGTTTTTGCAGTATCTTCTGGAGGCGGGCAGGTCACCATCCACATTAAGGGGAATGGTGGCTGCTATCAAGGCACAAAGGGTAGGCAGACACAGTTACCTGAGGGTGTGTCCCACCTGATCTCCAGGTTTCTCAAAGGGGCCCGACGGCATGGTGGCAGGTGTACAAGACCGCCCCTTCCCTCCTGGGATTTGGAGTTGGTTTTGCAGGCCTTGGTGAAGCCTCCTTTTTGAGCCTCTGGCTACAACGGACCTGAAGTGGGTGTCGTTGAAAACGGCCCTTTTGACAGCGTTGGCCTCTGCAAAAAGGGTGGGAGAGCTCCACGCTCTCTCGGTTCATCAGGACCTCTGTAGGTTTATGCCTGAGGAGGCTGGTGTAGTTTTGCGACCGGACCCGATGTTTGTCCCTAAGGTTATCCTAGGTCGACACTCAGATTTGGCAATCTCGTTGAGGTCCCTGTTCTCCGCTCAGCAGGCAGGGGGTGAGCGGGAACGGTCGCTGGTGTGTCCAGTCAGGGCCCTGCAGGTCTACATGACTCGGACACGGGAGCACAGGACTGTGGATCAGCTTTTTGTTTGTTTTAAGCAAGGGAAATTGGGCCAGCCCCTTTCTAAGGCTCGCCTGTCGCATTGGCTTGTAGATGCAATCCGTCAAGCATATGTGACTATGGGGGTTGAGTTTCCTGTGAATGTGAGGGCACATTCTACACGGGGGATGGCAGCGTCCTGGGCTTTGTGGCGTGGCGCATCGCTGGATGAGATCTGTGCTGCTGCCACGTGGTCAGCTCCTTCTACTTTTTCTCGGTTTTTACCGGTTGGATTTAGCAACAGGCACATCCTTTGGGGAACGTGTGCTGGGTGCCGCGCAACCCCAGTGATGTTACCCATGACCTTGCATCTTGCAGGTTGGGATGGGGCACGGGGATCTGGGCAACAATGTCCTGCGTTGGCAGAATGGGTTGCCCGTCTTTATTTTTCATGACAGTGGCCTGGCCTTTGCGTCTTGCAGGGCTGTGTCGCCTCGGTTGCGTCTTGCGCTGGGGCCAGTGTGTCACAAAACTTGCGTCTGGCAAGGTTGGCTTCTATGTGTGTAGTTTACTGTGTCACTTGGGTGGTTTTTGTTCTAATTGGTGGCGGCAACGTCTCATTCGAAATACACCCTGCTCGATCCCCTTGCGGTGTGTCTTACAGAGTCCCCGTACATATGAAATATGTAACTGGGTGGAGAGATAGTCTCAATACGATAGAGAACGTTACGGTTACAGTATGTAACCATGTTCTCTGAGTGAAGAGACTATCTCTCCAGCTCGATTCCGCTCGGGGATCCGTTACATCAAAATTTGATCAAGGTGCGCTGGGCACACGGGTGCTTTTGTAGCGCAATCAGCCATCTCACAGGTGGTGTGTCTTAAAGAATTATCCATGTCACCTGACCCGCGTGGGGTCAGTCCCCGTACATATGAAATATGTAACTGGGTGGAGAGATAGTCTCTTCACTCAGAGAACATGGTTACATACTGTAACCGTAACGTTTTATAACATTATCATGTGCTTCAGTCAGAATGAAACATACTGTTCTATATAAAGAGACATAAGTTACTGTATTATTGCATATGCAGTACATATGTGAAATACACACCACCTTACTTTACCATCTTAGGGAGAGGTCAACACACAGGTTTTTTTTGGTTAGTGAGATTTATTGATTTTAAATGCTACAAAATAAGAAAAATGGACTAATAGTTTCGAGAACTTTAAATGCACCAAAGCCACTGAGAAAAATGTTATTACAAAATATATACAGTATATTAATTCTCAGAGTTCACAGTCTGGAACCTGGACTGCGATGGCATTTCTTTTCTGCATTATCTCACAGACCAATCTCTACTCATTCGCAGCCCTTCCTCCCCCAGACGAATAAACAAAGCCCACCCTAGCCCCCTGTTGTTTCGGTCATCACCTCATTTGACATGCAAATGTTAGCAACCCAAGTAGCTCCACTTCTCTTAAACTAGCCCCAAATTTGGCTGGGCGTTCTAGTGTTAAACAAAAAAATAATGCTGACAAACAGGATCGCTCCTTCCTTAAAGCCTCAGAACACTCCAGCCCGAGGACAGACGTGTGATCTACACAGAGGCACCGAGACTGATGACGGTGTGGGCCTCACAGCAGAGGCCTAAAGCAGGGGCCTCATTACTTTAATACTTACAGTCTGTGGTAAATACACGGGCTACAGGTGTTACACGTGCTTAGACTATATTAATATTGTATGTGTAACATTCAAAATAGATTGAGTGAATATTCCCTTTTCCTCATTTAGTGGTTTGCGGAGGAGAGAGCAGCGAGAGAAGTTTGGCAGGGGAGGAGCCGTGTGGAGTTAAAATAAATGAATTACAGCTTGCTAAATTATTTGAAAGCATCTTCATTATGATTGTTATATTTTATGTATTTATTATAAATGTTAGAGATGCCAGAGAAAAGGCGTCTGCTTTTTTTCTGAGTGGGAGGAGACACCAGCGGAGCTGTTTGAGTCAGATAACGTTCAGCGTTATATTACCAATAGTTTCTCTTTCCATAACGATATTCTCTCTTTTTGGAAAGATCACCAACGTGATGCAAAAGTTTACGTTATATGCAGTAGTTTTAATGTCTGCGGGTTATTCCAGAGACTGGCCTGCTACAAGGAGTTGCCCGTTTTAACCAGATTGTCGATGTGCGCGGGGCAGAAACTCATAGGCGACGGATATAATCAGTTGCCAGTCCGATGTACAGTACGCTAGGCTTAAAGCCACAGATAGTTGTCCGGTGAAGAGAGAAGAAAGAGCGATGAGACGCCAATGTAACCCTGCTCACAAGTGCCACCTGGTGGTTGTTTTGGTCATTGCAGCGTCACTGGGGGGGAAAAAAAAAAAAGACACGCGATTCACGCGTGAAAGGCGACAAAACGAAATGGGACCTACTCTATGTCCATTTCATTCTCTTCCATATTGAGAACTGTAGACATAGTAGCTATGTGCTTTCTAAGTTTGGTTGAGGATAGCATCTCTGGATGCACCGCACCACATTCTTTGGCCACCTGCCGTAGGGAGTCTGATCCCCTGATGTGGGTGTCTGCGCCCGGGCGGGAGAAGAAGTATGGGTTATGGTCAGATGGAACAGGCCCTTCTGTTCTACACCAGCACCTCCATCGAAGCAATCATTTCAGGAGTCAAAAGAACCGGCACTTTCCGACTTCTTTTCCCTTTGATTTCAATTCGTTGAAAATGCTGACAGCTTTTTCTCAATTTCAGACAGTCCCAGAGCAATGTCAGAATGGATCCCAGTCTTAAGGTAAACGCTGTCAGTGGCATCTTTGAAACCTTCCCTTCTTCGATTGAAAATAATGACCTCACAAAGAGTCAAAACTGCCAGTTTAGACCAATGCTTAGAGGTTGGCTCACTTTTTAGGCTTTGCACATATTCAGGTCAACATACCTCAATATGTGCATGCATGGGTCTAACGTCCTCAGAGGGAGCAGGTCCGGAGTGTTCCACTTTGCTTGGCGGAAGGTCTGTAGGGCAGCAGAAGAAACACAGACGTCCCACCTCTTCTCAAAAAGCAGCCGGCTTCGTTGCAGGTTTTTAATAAATAGCTCATCAACACAATGCTCCATTTTTGAGTCACATTCAAGAATATCTGCTAGCTTTCTGAGGCTATGGCCGAGTTTGAGGGCCAAGGATGTATTCAAGTCTTGTATTGATTTGTTTCCTCATCATATCCAGCCACAGACCTGACTTCGTCAATCACATGGTTAAAGTTGGAAGGAATAAAGGAATCCTTAATTGTTTTCAGTTTCCCTGCCGTTTTTGCTTCGTTAATTAACCTACCGACTTCTCTCATTTTCTGCCAAATGTAATCATGCTTAGTCTTATCATGCCCATGTTTTAAGTACAGGTGCTCTCCTTTGCCTTTGGCTCGTCACTTTCCAAGTCTTGAAGAAAAGTATTTTTGATATTTCTTTTTCCATACTTTTTTCCAGGTTTCTTCTTGGCAGTTAAATAGTCAGAATCTGAGTCGACTTCATCAATTAGGAACTCTTGACTAAGCTGCACAAACAACAAATAATTTGTAATAATTCTATATAACAATTTGAAGTCATAACTTGTAGTCAGCACGTACCAGTGGTTTGTAAGCGTGCGCTTCAGTGTGCTCCTCCATGATTTCTTGTAGCCTAATGAACCACACACCTGCACCTTTTCTAGCCTGACACCTGACTTCCTCTGCTGTGCTGCTCCATGATTGGCTCCAGCCTGCTGGACTGAAATTGCCTCGGTGTGCCCCTCCTTGATGTCCCGCAATCCACCACCAGGGTTCCGACACATAACACACTTTTTTCAGGAAAGTAAACCTCCAGGGGTCCTTTCCATATTTTTGCAGAGACTGCAAAAGGACCGTTAGAAAAGCATTACCCAGTGATTATTAAGCTTGGACCAGTGGGGTCCGGTGTTCGGGCCCCACCACGTAAAACCAGTCCCCATGACGTGAGTGGAATTTCAGGTTATGGACCCCACCAGGAGTTGAAAACAAGTGCACCCCAACACAAACACAGAACCCCCCTCCACACACACACACACACACACCCAGCCCCCCCGAGGACCAATTGCGTTTGCGTTCCAACCTCTGCTTGTCTATATTTCATTAGTGCTTATGAATATTTATGATCCAAAGTCTTGTCGCTGTTTGGGCCAAACTCACTCGTTCATCAACTTCACTTTAAAAGCTCAGATGTTGTGAATTAGGGCTGGGTCATATCATACCTTTCAAGGTAATACCGGTGTAATGTTATGGTACGATATGAATTTGACATATCGCAATAGAACTTGGTCTTAACGCGCGTGCGCAGTACCAATGTTTTCATGCAGGAGTGAGAAGCATGGCGGCGACCGAGGAGGCGGAATGCACAAGCGAAACATTGACTGACACAAGTGAACCAGAATTGGTTTGCAAAAAAGGTGCAACATCCGTGGTGTGGAGCTGGTTTGGTTTTCGCCCGTCGGATACACGGCAGAACACTATTTTTTGCAAAATATGCAAGCGGTCCGTCGTGGCGAAGGGAGGAAACACCACGAACCTGTTTCACCATTTGAAGCAAAAGCACTTACTGGAGTACAACAAAGCTGTAAAAGCACGCGAGGAGGCGTCTGCATCAACTGATGATGTGGTGAGACCAAAGAAACACACTCAGCAAACAATCGGCGTAACTTTAAATAATGGCGCACCTTATGAAAAAGGTAGCAAACGCTGGGGGGACCTAACTAATGCGGTGACACGTTGTTTGGCCAGGGATATGATGCCCATTCAGAGTGTCGAAAGAGAGGGCTTTTCGAAAATGCTTAAAACATTTGATCCCCGCTACAAGCTGCCCTCCAAGAAGTACTTTTCTAAAGTCGCCTTGCCGGCATTATATGAAGACGCCCGTACTGAAGTGGATGTGGTCAGTTTTGATGCAAATCCTGCTTTGGTTAAGTCCTTGTGTGGCCTCTGTTTGGTTTTTATATTTATAAAAATAAAATTACACAAATGTTAATACCCTTTGGAATGGGCACTTAAAGTTTATATATAGATAAAATAAACTTTAATTGTCACCCATTCCACCCAATAATATTTGTTTTAAATAATAAACTTAGTGTTCATTTTTTTTGTCCTTTGTGCCTTTTTAGAAAGAAGCATGAAAGACCCAAGGATTGAACGAGCAGTTGGAGTAGGCAAAAAGATCGTCGCTGCGTTTGGCCACAGCTGGAAGCGCCAACGAGCTCTTCAGGCTGCCCAAAAAGAACTGGGCCTACCAGAACACAAACTCATAACTGAATGTTGCACTCGTTGGGGTTCGAGGCAAAGAATGATCCAGCGACTTCTTGAACAGGAAAAGGCTATAGCACAGGTTTTAGCTGCTGATAAAACCACAAGACACCTCATGTTGACATGGCAAGACATAGAGGTACTTGACTCTATCAGCACTGCCTTGAGTCCGCTTCTCGAGTTCACAGATGCTTTTTCTGCTGAAGAATACGTGACCATTTCATGTGTTAAGCCTGTTCTTCAGATTTTCAACAACGACCTGTTAAAAGTAAAAGACAATGACACTCAGCTGACCAAAGACATCAAAACAGCAATACTTGACTACATGAACAAAAGCTACAAAGACAGTGTCACAGAGAGGCTTATTAACATGGCTTCTCTCCTTGATCCACGCTTCCGCACAGAATATCTCAGCGAGAGTGAAAGTGAAGCCATCAAAGTCCAAGCCATCAGTGAACTGGAGCATCTTGTGTCAGACCAGGGTAGCACAGCTATAGGTTTTTCAGAAACCCCTCCTCCAGCCTCAGGAGACCAGATAAGTCAGGGAGCTGCTAAAAAGCAAAGGAAGAGCCTTGGAAGCTTTTTGAAGGGGTCAGTTAGTGGCAAGACAGATGTAACTGCAGAAAGGTTATTATCTGAACTGAGCAGCTATGTAAATAGTCCAGCAGCAGACAGTGAGTGTGATCCACTTGTGTGGTGGAAAATTCATACAGTAAACTTTCCCCACATCAGCAGGTTAGCCAGAAAATACCTGTGCATTCCTGCTACTAGCTCTGCATCTGAAAGGTTGTTCAGCACAGGTGGAAATGTAGTAACTTGTCAAAGGTCATCCCTGAAGCCCTCAACTGTTAACATGCTGGTGTTTCTGACAAAGAATCTTAAAGCTTGAACATATAAAGCTAACTTCTACCTCCATGCTCAATAGCATTATTCATCCACATATTATTTTTGTTTACCCAAGGGTTTGTGCAATTTTATTATTTCACTTATTTATTTTGCACACTGCAGTTTTATGTTGCAAAGCAACTCTACCTTACTTTTGTGGATATGCTCAGGAGATGTCAACAAATTCAATGCCTTGTGATTTCACAAACTTGTTTCACAATTTACAACTTGTGTAATATTGATTTTGGTACAAAATGATAGTTTTAATGCACATCAAAAACAGCTTCTTGTTTAATTGAAAAGAAATGTTTTCTTCTATTTGCACCAATAAAGCTGTGCAGTTTTGAAATATTTTGTCTAGCTTCAAATATATCGTCTGTTATATCGTTATCGCAAATTTTGCTATTTATATCGTGATAAAATTTTTTGACCATATCGCCCTGCCCTATTGTGAATAAAACACTTTGCGTAGCAGTTTGTTTCCTGTTTATGGCTCATAGATCAAACTAAAGCACCGGGTCCTGAAGCTGCAGATGTTTGAGCAAACTTTTAAAATATCTGTAAAAGGAGAGAAGAGTTTGGTTTGTGTCGGTATTAAAGCTTTACTGCTGTGACGGAATGTAAAGTTTACTTCTTAGAAAATGTCTATAATAAACATAGACCATTACTTATTACATTCAATAATAGTAAGAATTTTTAACCACATGATAATGTTTCCATCATGGACAACACCTCCCACTGCACAGGACTGAGGAGGGGCTGAGGAGCTACTTCAGTGGAAGACTGAGACACCCTCAGTGCAAGAAGAAGCGCTACCGCAGGGCCTTTATCCCCACCGCTGTTAGACTGTACAACAAGTCACTTTAAGTCACTTGCATTAGGACTAAAAACCTGCACTACTATTGACACTGTTTCTTGATTGCCACTTTTTATTGTACATAATATATCCTGCATTTAACATGTTGCACATTTCTTTCTTTTCACAATCTGAGTGATTCTATCCATGCCTGATGTGACATGTACATTTATCCATCAGAGATCAATAAAGTCTATCTTATCTTATCTTATCTTAATTAGCCGTCTTTAAAGGGTATTTATTAAAGTGTCTGTTTCAACGGTTGGTCTGAATCTGAACTTCCTTTAAAGCTTCCAGACCTCAGACCTTTGTCAAAAGCATTTCAGAGCTTTCCTTCATGACTCAAACTCTGACCTGGCTCTAACCCGGCTCTCACACGAAATTAAGCAGTTGCTGATGTTTGTCCAAATACAATTACAATAAAAGGAATCTCCTTCTAATCCTACTGTTTACATTCAGCCACATTAGAATCATCAGACTCATAAGCCACATAAGAATCATCAGACTCATACTCGTCAGACTCGTCAGAATCGTCAGAATCCTCAGACTCGTCAGAATCCTCAGACTCGTCAGAATCGTTGGACTCATTAGAATCATCAGAATCATCAAAATCATCAGAATCATCAGACTCATCAGAATCCTCAGACACGTCAGAATTGTCAGAATCGTCAGAATCATAAAACTCATCAGAATCATCAGCATCAACCGAATCGTCAGAATTGTCAGAATCGTCAGACTCGTCAGAATCATCAGAATATTTAGAATCTTCAGAATCTTCAGACTCATCAGACTCATCAGAATCATCAGACTCATCAGACTCATCAGAATCATCAGAATCCCACACGGAGGTTTTTCACACCCAAAGGTCCATCACTGGTTTCACACAAGTCTTTATCAATCGGATCAAATTAAAGTCAACAGAGAATTTGGTTTTATTGTTCTTTGTAAACAACTTGTAAAACGCTCGGAGAATCTGTGGCTCTTCTTTCTGTTTGTCAGTCTCAGATTTCAGACACAGCGAACACACGATGGACTGTGACCTTTTCTCATAGAGGGAACAGTGAAGTGTTTTGTTTACGCTCAGAAATAATAGTAATGGGTCTGATTCTGAGTCAACAACATCGAAGAGAGACTGAATAATATCAGAAGTACTGCATCTTTACTCTGTCAAATCTTGAGAGTCGCTCTGACACGCGCACGGCGCTCTGACACGCGCACGGCGCTCTGACACGTGCACGGCGCTCTGACACGCACACGGACTGGGGCGTGTCTGGAGAATGTTGTGCATATGCTGTGAGAAAGGCAGCTCTGGAGAGAGTCACGATGCCTGAGAACAGAGGGGTCTGGGCTGTAGTTGAATCTGGCGGCTCTGAATAGACCCGCTGCTCCGTGGGACGAGCTTATGGAAGCTTATGGAAGCTCTGGTCCCAGAGAATGAGGATAGAACACACTTTATTCATCAATACTGTCGCCTTGTCAAATATGTTCTGACATGTCTTTCATAACAGGTTACTCCCAACACGGCCTTTCACTACTTTCAGGACTAATGTGCAAGTGTTTAGTGGTCGGGGAAACCAGAGCACCTGGAGGAACATGCACAGACTCCAGCCTACTGAAGACATCTCTGTTTCTACCCACAATTGTTTTTGTTTTTCAGTCTTTGCCCGAGTTTAAATAGTAATATTTTTACTCCTTAAAATAGATCATTTGTTGCTCCGGCAACGATTTTGCTGCTGCCACTTCAGAAATGTTTTATTTTTTATGATTTATTGTAACACTCTCCTACCTTGGAAATACCTTGTGAGAAGAATAATAAGTATTATCCTCCATCGGTGGACACAAGGCCGCACAGGTGGTAAAAATCATAAAACAAATACAATTGTTTTCTTGTTGAGGAGAGAGTCAGAGCTGCCTCCAAAACACCGGAACAGTTTGATGAGAAAGATGCTTCGTGGAGATAGTGAAAGAAAAGACAAACTCCAAAAAGACCACATGTGTTCGTACAAAACAGAAAGAGCTGAACGTAAATGTGTGCGTCATCGTGGTCACGTAATCGACTAACAACCACAAGGCCCCAAATGGCTCCTACACTTTTATCTCCATGTTCTCCTTCTGCTGATCACGCTCCAGGGCTCTGCTGATGTGGAAAACTGGAGATGCCCGAACCCCAAAGATCTGTGTGTGTGTGTGTGTGTGCGTGTGTGTCTGTGTGTGTGTGTGTGTGTTTTGGAAGTGATTAAAAAGAGGTTAGTGCAGGACAGGGTTGGCTGTTATCAGTGTTTGATGGATCGCTCTGAGCGTGTGCAGTGGAGGCTGTGGTCTGAGCGTGTGCGGTGAAGGCTGCGGTCTGAGCGTGTACGGTGAAGGCTGCGGTCTGAGCGTGTGCGGTTGAGGCTGCGGTCTGAGCCTGTGCGGTCTGAGCGTGTGCGGTCAAATATACTTTGAGCCAAGGTGGCGCTATTAGGATCTACTTCAACATGATTTGTGCCCAGGGGTCTCTCAGCTCTGGGGGACCCCTGGGCAGAGGTGAGAGACCCCTGGGTAGAGCTGATAGACCCGTGGACAGAGGGCCCAGTGTCTGCTCATGTCGGATGCTCTCCCGTCTTTTTCTTCTGGATGACTTTCCTCAGTTACTTCAGACCATTTCAGGAAACTGCTGCTTCAGGAGAAATAATGCGGCTTCAGATTCCTCTGGAAAAGTCTGAAGGAGGTAAATTGGCCAATCAAAACAGTGCAGTAAACGAACCAGCAACTAAACAGAACCGTTTACTGTACCAGGGAGTTTAGGGAGTATAAATACTGCCTTTAAGCAGTGTAAATACTGACTTTAAACAGTATAACTACTGCATTTAAACAGTATAAATACTGACTTTAAACAGTATAACTACTGCCTTTAAACAGTATAACTACTAACATTAAACAGTATAACTACTGCCTTTAAGCAGTAAATATAGACTTTAAGCAGTATAAATACTGCGTTTGAGCAGTATACATACTGACTTTAAGCAGTATAACTACTGCCTTAAATTCTGACTTTAAGCAGTATATATAGTCCCTTTAAGCAGTATAAATACTGCCTTTAAGCAGTTTAAATAAGCAGTATATATACTGACTTTAAGCAGTATAACTACTCCCTTTAAGCAGTATAACTACTCCCTTTAAGCAGTATAAATACTGCCTTTGAGCAGTATAAATAAGCAGTATAAATACATCATATTCAGGGTCTCCTTGATGACCCAGTGCGATGAAGCAGATGAAGCAGATTTTGTTTCAAACAGATGTTTGCACAAGTGTCTCCTCTGGAAAGCCAACACCATTTTATCCACATTTCCCTCACTTTTGTGATGTACAATATGATGGTTTATTTACTCTCCAACAATATCTTATCTACTGATAATATGTTATATTTGACACAGCACTTAAAGCAGCGTAAATCAACACATTTGCTAAATGTGGAAAGTGTATTTAACAGTGTTTGAGGAAGAATGTGGCCGACTTTATGGAAGGAGACAGGGTCAACTGCTGAGATTTGGTTACATTAGTGGTTCTGGTGCAGGTCAGGTCCAGAATATTACCTACATTAGTCAGAAGAAAGCACCGCACTAACATTGGTAATGTTGCAGAGGTGCAGAGGTCAAACCCTCCTCTGGGGCCGCGGGAAACGATCACAGCTGCTTCTGTCGGAGAAAAGTCCGAGTCTCAGATCAGGACGAGCGGCTTGATGAGGATGGATGGATGTTGTGCAGCAAGTGTCCTTCAACTGAAAGTTTTATTTCTGCTCTCACCGAAAGCATTTCAAAGTTTACTACGAGAATCACAGAACAGGACTGAACAGTGGCCCAGATCAGAGCTTTTAGAAGTCTGTAGTTCTGACCTGTGCCCGCTGCTGGAACAGGTCAGAGTGTTCTCTTTACGTGGAGCAAAAGGAGAGAACGCTGATTATCCTACTTTCAGTTTATCATGAGAAATGTATGATCTGAGACAGGGTATACCTCATGACCGGGTACACCTTATGACCAGGTATACCTTATGAGATCTGAGACCGGGTATACCTAACCCTGAGCCAAAGCAGTTTCCTCGTCTGTGACTTCCTGTTTCTTGCACTGCAATAAAAACGATTCTGATTCTGATGTAAGTGTTTATTGAATGTCCTTTCAGTGTTCAGTGTGTATGTTCTGTTTATGTGTCTTCAGTGTGTGTTCAGTGTGTGTTCCAACCCCACATAAAGATAATAATGCATTCATTATGAGTATTAATAAAGTATTTATGAGCACACGTCTGATTGGAGAAAAGGTCCTTCATGTCAACATACATGAAACATTTGTCTCACCAGGACAGCGTCACATGGTCCTGGTGCAGTCAGACTCTCGGGACAGCGTCACATGGTCCTGGTGGAGTCAGACTCTCGGGACAGCGTCACATGGTCCTGGTGCAGTCAGACTCTCGGGACAGCGCCACATGGTCCTGTCCTGTCTAATGCCCAACACTCAATTATTAAAATGGAAGGCTCCGTAAACACAGTGATGCAGTGTTTTTCTGCAGCAGTGTTTGGGGTCGCAACTCCCATCTGCTGATTTCATTCGCTGCAGGTCTTTTACACTTTTAGGAAATTGGAACAAAGCCTGTGGTGCCAAAGGCAATGATTCCATGTCGTTCTTTCAGACAGTTTCCTTCATGGGTTCTGTACCCGTCTCTACACGCTCTTCATATGTTGGATGTTAGTGCAGCAGAGAGTGGGCGTCCTGCTCTCTCTGACCACACGCTGACAGGAGCTGGTGGATTGTGGGTAAACAGGGAGCCAGGCCTCATTATCACATGTGTTTACGATGGTCTTTACTGCACATGGTCCGGAACCCCCTGCGGTGCTGCGACTCTGTCTGTGACAGCTCTGTGTGGGCGGGGGGCAGCGGCAGACCACCAGCAAACACCAGCAAACACTAGCATACACCAACAAACACCAGCAAACACATGGGAGTCCACGTAAACATGGTGACAGACACTAACGTGACTGATCCTCTGCATTTGTTGGATTAGAACAGACACAGAGTGTGGCTCCACACAAGGATCATCTGTTTTACAAAAGTGATGTTCCTTTAATAGGAAATTAATGCATTCTGAATGTATGTTTCTGGACACATTTTAATTGACTCCGTGGTGGGGACTGCAGAAGTCATACAAGGCAGTGTGGAAGTGTCTGGTTTAAGCCATATCCCAGGGGTCTCCCATCACAGTATTAACCAGTCATCGCCCTGCTTAGCTTCTGGGGCTTTCGCAAAACAGCCAATAAACCATATTGATCGATAAATGTGGATGTAGCTCCTCCTGGCTCTTCCTGTCTCCTCCTGACTCCTCCTGGCTCCTCATATGTTTAAACATGTTTAGGCAAGGCAAGGCAAGTTAGGCCCTGTCCACACGAAGTCAAGCTCAGGCCTAAACGCAAAAATACTTTATCAATCCAGTGTATCGTCCATACGAGGCCGGCGTTTTGGGGGGAGGTGTAAACGAACATTTTTGAAACTAGGTCCCAGAGTGGAAAGATTTCAAAACTCCGTATATGCCGCTCCGTGGTTACTGCCTCTCCGCAATGTATCTGAGTACCAGCTCGCCCACTCGCCATGTTGTCTGTTTACAAAATTCTGCGCATGCCCAGTTCCCTTCACGGAAGTTTGGGCCTGATCCCGTCATTGCGTCACAGCGCCACCAACAGGTCTGGCATAGTTTCACAGCGTTTTCAGGCGTATTGACTACATTCATATGGACGCACACATTTACTGAGCTAACTCCGTGTTTACAGAAAAAGTTTCTGAAATTATAAGC